GTTAGTGGCCCCTTTTATGGTTGTTAGTGGCTACTAGATAGGAAATGGTTAGGTTTTTCCTTGTATAAATTCAGATCTTATGCAAATTAATACATAGTAGGAATTTCATAAGTTCACTCAATTTTTATTCTTCAAATCAGTTTCTTGAGTATTTTTGTTCTAACAGTATCCTGATCAACAACAATAACTATCCACTATCTTGATCAAACAATAACTACCCACTATCTTGATCAACAATAAATACCTAGTATCTTGATCAAACAATAATTACCAAGTGTCTTGATCAACAACAGTTACCCGGATCAAACAATAATTAGCCAGTATCAACAATAACAAGGCACAACAATTACCCAGAATCTTGATCATACAATAATTGCCCACTACCTTGACCAACAATAATTACCTGTATCTTGATCATACAATAATTACCTGAATCTTGATCATACAATAATTACCCAGAATCTTGATCATACACTAATTAGCCATTAAACTGTATATGAAATAACACCAAATCCCCAAACCCTAACATTCCTTCTCTAAAGAGATGATCAAAGAGTTACAAAGATTTGAAAGTAGATAACATGAGATTTATATAATTCTGGCCAAGAAATCAAAAACCAAACACATATGCCACTACAGACACATAAAAAAAAAAGACTTTTCGAAGTGTGGAATCCCAGAATGTAATCATTGCAGAAGCGATCACTCCCCATAGGAAGGCATCAGCTCATCTTCCGAAGAGAATCATATACAATAATTACCCATTATCTTCATCAAACAGTAATTACATATGTCTTAATCAACAATAATTACCAATTACCTTGATCAAACAGTAATTACTCATATCTTGAACAAACTATAATTACCCATATCAACAATAGTTACCCAGATCAAACGAAAATTAGCGAGTATCAACAATAACAATAAGGCAACAATAATGACCCATATCAACAATAACGATAAGGCACAATAATTACGCAGAATCTTGATCATACAATAATCACCTAGAATTTTGATCAAAC